AATACCTAAAGTAGTCACCTTTCATTTTATGTTCCGTTACTCTAATAAATTCTATATCTCTTAACGCATTTATTATATAATTCTTTACATTCCTTCAAGAATATGTGATCCATGTAGACAAAAAACTTAGTCTTTTTGTTCACTAATATTTAATAAGGGAGCTCCCTTATTAAATAGAACTGCACTGTAATTTCTAAGACATGTGGTTGGAATCCACCAGCTGCTCTGCAGGACGAAGATGAAAATCTCTTCCCATGCAATAACTGCCTCTGGAAACCTCTGGATCAGCTATAGGTAGGTTCTGATTTAATGATGTTGTTGTTGTTGTTGTTAAGTGCCGTCGAGTTATAGATGACTCACAGCAACCCTATGAAAGAAAGTCTTGAACATAGAAAATTTTCATGTTTTATCTAAGTTCACAGAGTTTCCAGAAGCAAGCTATTTTGGAAGTGGATGCCACTCCTGCTTCCAAGCCTGTTTTAATTCAGGAGCTCCATAAAAAAAACAAACAAACCAGGCCCAAGGCCACAGACCTGAGGAACCATGTGCCTTTTTTAATAGAGGCCAACTCAAATCAGCTCACACCCAGTTGCGAGCAACAGCCACACTCAAGTCTCAACCCCAAACCAGAAAATATACCTTTGCAGAGTCCGGCCACGCCACTCATCTTCCCAGACTGAAAAGATTCAGTGATACACAACAAAATTTAATAGGCTCTTAATAAATATTTTAATGTTTTGCTGAGAATAAAGGAGAGATGGTGATTAGCAGAGGCTGGGAGATGACAGTTTTGAAAGAAGGAATAGCATGCTTACTTGTGGAAAGGATCATACATGCAATGACCCTATTGCATGTAAGGACTGGCTGATCATTCAGCACAAAGAGAGTATAGGATAGTCACAAAGGATGACAGGGGAAGAGGCTGGAATAGGAAGGGGTCAGATTATACCACCCTAAGGGAAACTATCAGAGGGGTTTAGAGAGATGAGAGACAGATTCTAATTCTAACAAGTTTGCCTTATATAACCTTTTACCTGCTGGTTGTTGTTGGTATATGCCATTGAATCAGAACAAACCCAGAGCTGACCCTCTGGGGGGTTTTCAGAGGCTGTAAATGACAGGGAAGATCTTTCTCCTCAAGAGCAGCTGGTGGATTTGAACCACATGTCTTTGGGTTTTCAGCACAGCTCCTTACAACTAGGCCATAAGAGCTTCTCACTTACTGGTGTTAGCAACCACAGACGTCTCCTTAATACATTATTCCTTTGGGATTACAAAATGGTGGTTTTATCAACTCTTTTGCATTTTTGATTGTGAAAAACTTTTCCTTATCTTTGATGAATCTGTAAAACAGATGCTTAGCAAAAGAGTTTGATCCTTTCCTTTTAATTAGCAATTTTATCCATTAGAGGTTTTGGGTTTTTTTGGTTTGGTTTTTTTTTTTTTTTTTTTTTTTTTTTTTTTGTGGGAAGGGGAGGAAATATCAGTAAGATCCCATGGCTTTTTCTATCCTGTATCATTATGCTTTGGCCAGTGGGAAACCCTTTGAAGTCAGTACCATAATAGTTTGTGAGCTACTTAAAATACATAAGTCATTTAAACCTTCCAGACAACCCTGTGAGGGTAGGTGTTATTACCCAGTTTTAAAAATGAGAAATCTAAAGCTCCAGGGGTGAAATGACTCACCCAAGATTATGTGTCTCAAAAGTGGAGAGCCAGGACTTGACATCCATTGTTCTTTCCATTAAATATAATAATGGTTGAGAGATTCGGAGAGTTTTAAGTGGTTGGAGTCTTTCTTCCCCCCTTATATTAAACAGCAGATGTCTTTAACCAGTGGGAATATGATATTAAGCAATATCCACTTTAGAAGACATCACTTATAGCAAACACTATTGAGAATAACTGTTATGCTGATAATACTGTAACTTAGTAAATAGCCTGTCTCAACTTTGTTTGCGAAGCATTTCAATTTTGATTACTCTGTATGGGATCTACTGCTCAGATGTGTATCATTTTATGGTCTGCCCATGTCTGGGGAGCTGGCATTACATGCTGCCTAGTGTTTTTAATTCAGAAGTTCTTCCAAAAGAAACCTTAGCCTCTTATATCCAAACCCTAGTTTTAATAGCATAAGCTATTTCCTTCTTATATAGCTTTGTGGGCATAGTAATAAAATAAATACCACAAAATCACTGATGAGATGAAAATTGAGCTCCCTGCTTCTGTGCAGCCATGTAGGTAAAACAGTAATTGGCTTTGATAATAACTTTTGTTCTTACAAACCAAAGTCTAAATGAGAGTCACATTTGATATATCTGCATGTAATTACTATCAAAGGAGAGAATACAAAGTTTAGATTGCTTAGTGACTCAAGATAGATTAAATGAATTGCCGACTTTTGTTGACCAATTTAAGAAATTTTTTTAAAGTATTTCTGATATTTAACTGATTGTTGGTAAAAAATTATCTTTCAGAACATGGTTAATGGAATGGTTAATTTGATTTTTATTTTTAATTCTGTGATTGTTTTATAATCTTATGCTTATAAATATTTTTAATATGCCTATAAAAGATAAATTTAGGTTTTGAATGTATTTGTGAGTGAGTTGATATGGTATGTGAGTACTGTTTAAATGTAAAGGCTTTAATGTGATCTAAAAAGAGAAATTAAATCACATGTTCTAATAATTATTATCTTAGTGGGTATGTGCACGCTTCAATGCCAACACAATAAACATTGGAAAATTAGTGATTTTTAAGAACGTCTGGCACTACTTTAGAAGCTAACAATTGAAGGATTGACATCATAGCCAAATTCTTTTGATTTCTAGTTACATACTGATTCCTTCTCCTCCTTTAATTTTTGGTATTTGTTTTTGTTATATGATAATATCCTACCTACCAATTTATTCTTCCTAAGTATTTGTGTCCACTGCTAGAGAAATATAAAAATGAGCAGAAAATAACTGGAGTTTAATTCCTATTTTCAGTCATACTGTATTCGATCATTGCCTCCCTCCACTAGTCCAACCACCACACACAGTTGATGGAACATAATAAAATGGAGGAAATCACTGTAGTCCACTGAGCCAGTGATCCCAGAATTAAAAAGTTTCTTACAAAGCTTAGACATGATTGATGAAGCTATTACTATCAATTGTATCTATACTACACTTAAAAAAACCCCAAAACCCTAATTACAGAAACCACATCCAGTCGATATAATACATATTAGCAATTTCCTGATCGTGTGGAATGGAAATTATTCAGAAAGCTTAATTAAGAAGGGAAAAATTATGTTCAGGTATTAATTTCAATAAAAGAGGCATTCAGCTTTCATGCAGAAACCCAGGAGTAGTTCTCATTGAGTGTGGGTTATCCACAGAAGAAAAGCCATTCAGAATTAGACATTGCACAGTTGTTAACGACCGTGTGTACCTCCAGAGAAAAGAAGTGTCTCGTCTGCAAACCTGTGTCCTTGCCTGGGTTAAATAAATGGACAGTTGAAAGTAGTTGTTTGGAGATTTTGTTTGAAAATTGCTACTGGGTGAGGGGTGGGGGGTGGCAAGGATGACTAGGGGCTTGCTTCTATTAAGCAATAACTTATATGGACAACATATATTCCAGAGATATTTCCGTAGCCTTTCTCTTCATTTTGACCGCAGGCATAGGCCCTTGGTGAATGTTTATGATCAGATAAATAACTCCATCATAAACTAATCTTCCTGTTTGCACAGCCATATTAGTAATTCTATCAGATCACTCTCAGAGTAAGATACTGTATCAAAAGAAAATCGTCTTTAAAATTAGCTTTTTTTTAAAAAAAAAAATTGCTTTCAATACCCCAACTTCCTATTTTAAAATCAATAATGATTTTTTAAAAATCACAAAGGTCACAAATGTATCATTCCATTTATATGAAATGTTCAGAAAAGGGAAGTCGAGAGAGAGAAAAGAAGTTAGTGCTTATCAGGACTTAATGGATTTAGTGTGCCTTTTTAAAGGGGGTGATGGAATGTTTTATTGTTTGTATGTTGTGACTATACTAAAAGCCACCAAATTATACATTTTAAAGGGGGTGAATATTATGGTATGTTAATTATATCTCAACTTTTTAAAATTCACAAAATCCTTCAGAAACTATCAGTAATATCCTTCAAATCCCACCTTAATCTGTTTACCTCAAGTCATAGAATGCTAGATGTGAGGAATAATTCCTCAGATCAAGTCTAAGTTTCTAATCCTGCAAATAAGAAAATGGGCTTCCAAAGACATGTAATGACTTATCCAAGGTCACACCCTGGCAGCCCAGGAAGAGCTCCAAGACCCCTTTCTAGCAGCACTTAGGATGTTCACTCTACATAGTCCATTTTTAAGCACTTCAGCAGTAACGAATTTGAATCCTTTAAAATAAGGAGGAAGTCACTCAAATGAGATGTTTTTATGTTTTTCTAATGCAAACGTAAATTATTATTAAAGAGAAAAAAAAACACAAAACAACCCTATCTCTGTGAAAGAGTAGATAAGTGTGTTATGGTTTAAAAGGTCCGAACTGATACTTACCTGTAAATATCCCAGGAGGAAAGAGGCCACATTAACAGACCAAGGGAGCCCTCTACCTGTGTGTTTGTAGTATAGATTTCATTGGCAAAATCCTTGACCTGGAAAACTGAAAATACATGGACCCCAGGCACACTAATCCTTTATCTACCTTGACTAGCTCTTAGCACTGTTTCTGAGGAAAGAAAAGGTATCTAAACATGTACGTGTGTGCTTAGTGGGCTGCATGGAGAGAAATCTGCAGAAAGCATGTTTTTTGTGGAATAAAGGGGACCAATTAGCAGCCTACATCAAAGATACAAATATATACATATTTTCAGTGAGAATTACATGGAAAGAATTATGTTCAAGTAACATTATGCTCCTTTGAGGCTATTCAATGTTAGTAAGCATTTTTGTTCATCTGGCATGAAAGTTTCATTGTTTCTTTGTTTCAGCGAAAGATGGGATTGAATGTAAAAATCATGCAGGATCCTGAAAACTCCCAACATAGAGCTGCTGTCAGTGCAAAATATGGAATCAGTTTGCCATATATTAATCAGAGAAAAGCTTGTGTAAGTAATGAGTTGCCTTAATGAGCTCTTAAAATGTTTTAAGAATTGAAAGTCACTTTTTAGTAATATAAGAAATAATGTAGATTTTTAAGATTTCTGCCTTTGGAATTTTGGGGAGGTAAAATGAAGTAACTTTCATTTTGTTTACAAACAGAAATTAGTAAGAAAATGTAAACTCATTTAAAAATATCTATTGGTAGCTCATTCAAATCTTAATGCTGCATTTATTATTACTCTGTTCTAAGCTGGTACCACAGTTTAAAAATGGAGAAAATAATAAGGCGACAAAAATATTGACAGAGAAATTGAAAATGTTTTATTGCTTTTATAGTAAGCTTTTTCCATAGAAAGATAAAATAAAACAAAAAATAGCAGCACAGCATCAACTTCAGTGGTGTGTACTCATATAATATACAGAAATTTAAGAATATTATTCTAAATCTGAAGCAGGCAGGGATTGACCTTATATCAGCAAAATGATGGGAGAGAAAAATAATCAAAAGGAGATTGGTGCTCAGGGATCTCGGAGTCCTTGCCTGTTTGTGCTTTTGACTTACGACAAAGTATCCCTCTGTGTTATGAGGGTTTCTTAAGAGAACTAAGCTGAGTGTTTCATTTTAAAAGGGAAATTATTTTGTTCAATATCATTTCTAATACTGAAAACATATGTATTTTAAATTACTGTGGTGACATCCATACATTTTTAACCTTTGGCTTATCACATAAGCTCTTAAATATGTGTGTGTGTGTGTGTGTGTGTGTGTGTGTGTGTGTGTGTGTGAAACTAAAGACAGTCTTAATGTTAAATTGCAAAACCTTTTCTTACCAGCATAAGTCTTTTAGATTAATCTCCTGAAGTTTCTACATAGAAATTTTCAACTGCCTACTTCTTTCATGCAGCTCCAAAATGTATTTTTAGTTTTGTTATATGTGCCTTATGTTATTCTCACAGGTTTGTCTTGTAGATATACTTTTTATAACCTAAGAAATAACCAGAAAGTTCAATGCTTTTATTCCTGCTGAAACTTTATTTAAAATGTCACTGTGAATAATGTGAAAACGTTTGTATCAGCTTCCCATGAGCCCAAAGCCCATGAAAGAAAAATATTATTTCTCTGGCTGCACAGACAGAAGCAGATTTCCCTTTTGTTGTTGTTGGTTTTCCCCTTCCATCTAGAATTAATATTGGCTTAGCTGGTGGAGTGCAGAGGCTCTGTAGCCCAAGGCAACTTCTGCATCTTATGCAAACTTTTTTTGGTGAGCATTGAAGTTTTAAAAGGCATGTTTCTAGGTGTAGGGAGAAATGATTTGTTTTAATGGATCTTGAATGACAATTCAAACATAAATAGGAGATGCAAAATTACATTCCATATTTGAGGCAGAATCTTAAATATGTATTACTTTTTGATGTTGTTTTTCCTAAGTGAAACTCTTAAATACTTTGGCTCTTTTGTCTATGTACTTTGAGCACAGAGGATTTGGTCAAACACTTTGCCTTATATGACAGAGAATGAATAGTCATTTACTATATTAAAGATCTGGGGGTTGTTTTTACCACTTTGGTTAATAAAAATCTACCAGAAGACATTCTGCCTGTTTTGCTCAACCCTACACTGACATTGTGATCAGAATGGTAACTTCACCGTTTTATACCAACTGAAAGTATTTTTATTTTGGATTCACAAAACAGAAAAATTATGCAAAAAAACCCTGTGAGGGAAAATATGTGGGTGGTTTGGTTTTCATCAATCATGTAGAGCCTTCTTGATTTACCACTGTGATTTACCACTCTCAGAAAAATGTGCAAACACTTATGCCAAACTGAAGCAATGAGTCTAACATTGTGATGTATAGTTAATTAGAAAAGCAGCATCAAGGCTAATCACTTTTTAGAATCACTCTAAACATTTAAAGGGAATTATTATTTGGGCGCCAAGGGCCATATGTTCTCTTACTTCCTCTGAAACTTGCTCAGCCTGTCAAAACCCTGTAAATAATCTTAAATTATTTTGTCAGAGTAAATTTGATTATGTAACCAATTTATAGTATTACTTTGTAAAAGTTGGCATTTCTCCATCTAATGAAGAGATGTGTCATCCTAGATAATAAAGAATATTAGTGCATTGAAAATACATATACAGCCCCCAACACACACATATTCACTCATACCATGCAAAACTGCCTTTAGAATTTTGTATCCTGTGTCTCTATTATATAAAATCAATTAGCAAAAAAATTATTAAGTGTGACTCTCACTTGTGATTTTTTCCCCAATATCTTAAATCTGCTAACTAAAAAGCAAATAACCCACTAATACTTTTTTAGTAGTTAAAAGTTTAAGCAGACAAGGAGAAAGCCCTAGTACTGGTTATATTTATCCACTGATGTTTAGCTCCAATTAGACTTTATAATGAAACACATTGAAAGATCTACAGAAAATTTGACATTGATTTATTTTATTTTAAATAAAGAGGGTTTCTTAAATGGCTTGAAACATGTAGCTGTTAACATGAATTTTAAAAGAAAGATTATGAATGCATAACAAAACAGCCAAACAAAACATTGCTTTGAATTGCTACACAAATAACTCTGATTATAACTGTTATGACCTAGAAAAGAATCATAAAAACATTTTTCTTTTTGGCAAGATATGAGTTGCTATAGAATTATACCAGTTCTTTGGTCCCACTTTCCAAATAAATAAATAAATATATAATGCAATGTAAACTTAGAATCTTTTATTTATTCATGAGGTTGAATTTAATACTATTATGATTCCGAGATTTTATGAGTCATATGTTATGCAGTGTTTTTCACTAACTTAGTTGGGTAGCAACCACACTTCACAAATCATGGTTTCATTCTTTACTGTTTCACTTGGAGTGTACATAGTAATCGCGCTCTTACTGAAAGCACATTCTTTTCTGAAATGATAAAGTAATGGAAAGTGAGGCAATTGTGTTAATGTCAAATGATTAGAAGAAGCACCGGGAATAAAGGGTGGGGGCAGGGAGGGGAGAAAAAGAAGGACAATTTCAAAACATGATTGTATTTTAAGCCCATGCATATGGCCACAATTACAGTCACAACATAATTTGGCAACGGTAGCAGAATTAGATTTAAACAAATTGATGTTACACTGCAGTAATTCAGAATGAGCTTGTTGCATTTATAAACCATAACAAGAAGCAGAGTGAATTAATAAACCCTTCTTGTCACTAAAAATAAAAAAGGGAATAATTGCTGAGATGGAGTTAACAGATGACTATAGTCAGCATCCTTTCAGCCTAGATATGGGAAAGTGAAGGTCACCCCCATCTCAGATGACAAAGAGGGAACACTTTGTTGGTAAACAAATTAATCTTTTGAAAGGTCGCCATTTGTTTTAAGTTTTTATCCAGTTCTTGTCATCTGGAATCAGAGATTGACTGTCATTTCACTAGGCAGGGGTGCAGTTGAAGCAGACAAAGCTGCTTCTGTACATATCAGCATTCCTTGACAAAACTCAGTGCCTGATTGTGATGCTATGGGCTGCTGGTTTACAGCTGTCTCCGGACAAGAATAGAGGCCCACCCCTGAATTCCAATAAGATGGGCCTGCATATTCCGCCTGCTGTAAGCTGGCCCTCTGCCCACAAGTAAAATGTATTGTAGTTCAAGCCAGCAATTATCTCTTTTACTTCCTTCTGTGCTGCTTCTGTTCCCTTTTTCCAAAAACAGATGTGGGTATTCACTCAAGTTCTGCATCCTTTCTTTCTCACACCTGCCAGGGTGGAATTTTCATGGAGGTATAGTTTCAGGGAGCCGGCAGATAACAATCAGATGTAATTTCTTTGAGAGCAGTTAAAAAAAATGTTGATTTTCCAGGAAATGTAGAGTCAGCATCTTGCACCCCCTCCCTCCTTTTCCCAGGAGCATTTGGTAAATTAAATTAGTTGAACAAAAGGAAATAGCTCTAAGGACATTCTGAAATGCCATATCCTATTTATGACACACGGTCATTACCCAAGGACTGCTATGGCATGCAGAACGTCCCCACTCTTAACATTAAAGAGAGCTTTCTCTTCAGGTTGCTTAGAAAGAGTTTTTGTCTGCTTAAACAATGATGACTTTTCATGTTCTTCCTGCATCAAAGTCTCTACATCGCCTTTCACTAACCTGAAGATGAAGGTGGATGGGGGTGTACTGCAATTGTACATTGCTGTTGCTGTTTAAAATTTTAGATCTTGTTTACTTTGAAACCTTGGAAGAGCTGAAGAAAGTGATGGGATAGTTGTCACCGGCTGGTGTGCAGCTCTCTCCAAAGCCGGTTGCCCTGGGATCAGGGAGAGACCACTAGAGGCTACACTCTCATGAAATTAGTAACATCTAGCCACAGTGAGTCCTCATACTTCTTTGAAACTATGTTTCTTTAGTTTTTCTGCCAAGCTTTTGCATCTGTTCCTAAACCAACCCTCTGCAGAACTCAAAGCACTCTTAACCATAGTAATTCTAGTTGATACCACCTAGTGTGGGTTCTTAATAGGTAGGGTCCTCCTAGAAAAATCCTCATGTGTTGTAGTAGTAATAAAACTGTCTCTTCAATAGCAGTATAGAACTAACATTTAAATGAGATCATTTGACATACTTATCACCCAGTATACCTTTTACGAAGTGCTCCGCAACTGTTAGCTCTAACTATTGACATAACTCCCATATTATATTATGCCCTATTTCAGATTGTCATTTAAAATCTATTTCATTGTAATGGTTAGGAACTAGCATATTGCTGAGGTCCATCCAGGGATTCAATTGAATATTTCATATGATTACATCTGCTAACCTGTACTGATACAAAAACAGGGACCTTGTCTTTTCTGTTTTTCACATCATCTGCTGTTCTTCGCACTGTTTTCCACTTAACAGGTACTTAGAAGAGGACGGATTTGTCCTCTCACCTGCCCATTCTCTGTATTGATGTTGTATATAAGGCCTGATGCCTGACCTAGACATAAAATAATCATTTTGCTGGGGTCTGGCAGGCCTTGTTACACAAAGACACCTTCCACCGAGCTCTGAGAGGGTTTACAGTATACTTGCTCCTGAATTATTTTTTTTTATAAATTTTATTTTAATAATTTTAATGAACATTTACA